CAGCTCGATGGCTCTGGTGTAGGCCGCAATCGCCTCAGAAGCAGCTGGCGACCAATATGGTCAGAAGAGCACGAAGCACACGTATGCAGTGTAAGAAAACTACCCGTTCCTAAGTCGCACGTAGCGACACTTGTTGGGCTCACCTGTGAGCAAGCAGCTGGCACTTGTGGAGGTGCTATCAGTCTGAGTCCCCTAAGCCCTGATTCAAATGGCACTGCACGAAATTGCTCGCGTGCTCGGTCGGGATATGGATTTATCGCTGGATTGAAACGGACTGATTCGGCAACCCATGCAACTGAGCACAGAAGAGTCGCCGGTGCGAAGGCAATCAAAAGGCTTGCCGTAACAATTCTGCGCGCCGCCGAGACGAGGACCCAGAGCTATGAACATCGTGGAAAGATGACGAATGGCATTCTGGGGCAATGATGCCATCCAGGGGCAATCCTCGGGACCAGAGGGCATCAGAAACAACCGGCGCTGAAGCACTGGTCCCAGGGGAGAGGATCGAGAACTCCTTATCCGATGACCCTTACAAGGGAAACGAGGACTCGATGTCAAAGCAGTGCCCAGGCACTGCTTTGCATATTTTCAAGCAGCTTCAAAGCAGTCCCCCAGCATTGCTTTGAACGTTGTCACACGGGGGTGTCACATGCGACATCGGATGGTGATGATGATGAAGTTCATGATGATGATGATGATGATGATGATGATGATGATGATGATGATGATGTTGTTCATGATGGTGATGATGATGATGATGATGATGATGATGATGATGATGATGATGATGATGATGATGGTGATGATGATGATGATGCTGATGATGTTGGTAGTAATGATGATGATCATCATCATTATCATCATCATCATCAGCATCATCATCATGGGATGCAGGGGGCCTCTCAGCAGGGGCTGGCCACGGGCTCCCCTGGACGTTTGTCCCCCGCACCTCCAGGGAGGCGGGGGGCCGCTTCAGAAGCCCCACTTGACTCCGTCGAGAGCAGGGGGACGTGCTCGCAAGAGCGGGGAGTTCCCGGGGGTCTCCGGGGGGGGGATGGCTCTAATACGTGAAAAGAAGGAAAAACAAACGAGGAAGGAGGTGGAGAAGGGAGGGTGCTCTCGGAGGTGTTCACAAGTCTTCCGAGGACTTCGAAGGTTCCCCGTCGTTCTCCGAGGTCCCCAGACAGTGGGGAGGAAGAAGGAGGAGCAGCAGCAGCAGGAAGAAGAGAACATGACTGTCCAGAGGCTGCTATTACGCAATTACAGATCGTTTGCATCTCCTGCATTCTCGGATCGATCAAACCAAACCCGTTCTGTGAAGGGGAGTCGCCCGCGTGAATGCGTAATCGAATCGCTCGCTGCCACGCGCGGGATATCGATACGCATGATCGAATCGGCCTACGATCGTGTACAGACCTGAGGGAGCAGGCGGACGATGTTGCCATGCCCTTTTGGTGTTTGAAGGTTCGTGGAGGCTTGGAGGAATCATTCAAACTTTGGGGGGGTACTGGATGTTGGGAGAGGGGGAAGAGGAGGCGGATGAGGAAGCCAGGACGCCTTAGCAAACTTGCCGTCTTTGAAGAACTCGTTGCCCTCGTTCTTCGCCCTCTCGGCCTCCGCCCACGAGCCATCCGCCATGGCTGCTATCTCGGCCTGGCGTTCGGGACACGGAGCTGGACGAGAGGGGAGAGCCTTCGTCAACATCCGTAGGATCGCACATCGCTCCCGCACCCCACCCCCACACACCCGACCTCCACCCAGTCCCGACCCCCCACACACACACACACACACACACACACACACACACACACACACACACACACACACACACACACGCACGCACACACACAACACACAACACACAACACACAACACACAACACACAACACACAACACACAACACACAACACACAACACACAACACACACACACACACACCCACACACACACACACACACACACACACACACACACACACACACCCTGAGAAAACGTACCCGGGAGCAAGCCCCGCGGAACCCAACGAGGCTCCCGAATGGCCTCCGCCGGCGGACCCCAACGGGCGGGTCGGGCGGGCAAGCCCCAGCGGGGCGGGACGTGAAGGCAGACAGGCGGGCCTCCACACGAGAGGAAGGGTGGCCCCGAACAAGGGGGGCGGGCGCAAGAACGCCGTTCCCTGAGGAAGTCGTTGAAAATCTCTGGCGAGAGCGCGACTCCTACAGAAATCGTAAGGGCCCCTGGGCGAGAGTGCAATTCCTGACTGGCGAGAGCGCTTTCCGTCATGGGTTGTGAGAAATACCAGGCGAGAGCACGACTCCTGGGCGTCCATGGCACGCTTCCTGGATTAACTATGGGGAAGTCTCAGGCGAGAGCCTGTTTCTTGAGCACGTTGCAAGGCTGTCTCGAGCGAGAGCGCGATGCCTGAGTAAGATACGAGAAAGTCTTAGTCGGTAGCCGCTGTTGCTGCTTTCCAGTGGCCAACGGCACAATTTGAGTCCGCAGACTTTCCACGACAGCAACAAAATGTGAGAGCCGAGCGGCGCACTTCAATTGACAAAGCCTGTGGAAAAAAGGCAGAGACAACCAGCAAATCCTCCTCCGAGTCACAACATCATCCTCGTCATCATCATCAGCAGCAGCAGTGCCATCATCATCATCATCATCATCATCATCATCATCATCATCAACATCATCATCATCATCATCATCATCATCATCATCACCAGCAGCATCAGCATCAGCATCAGCATCAGCATCATCAGCATCAGCATCAGCATCAGCATCAGCATCATCATCATCATCATCGCCGTCGTCGTTGTCGTCGTCGTCGTGCTTGCCATCATCATCATCAGCAACAGCAGCATAAATCATGAATCAGCATGATAGTCCTCATCACTACCACCAACCTCGTAATCATCATCATCAGCAGCATCATCATCATGATCATCATCAGCATCATCAGCATCAGCATCAACATCAGCATCATCATCATCATCATCATCATCATCATCATCATCATCATCATCATCATCATCATCATCGTCTTCGTCGTTGTCGTCGTCGTCGTGCTTGCCATCATCATCAGCAGCAACAGCAGCAGCATAAATCATTAATCAGCATGATAATCCCCATCACTACCACCAACATCGTAATCATCACCACCACCATCATCATCATCATCAGCAGCAGCAGCAACATCATTATGACCATCGGCATGATCAACGATGGCACCATAAATCGCCGTCATCATCATTACCGTCGTCGCCACCACCACGTCATAGCATTGCCGTCGTCAGCAACAGAGCCGTGGATCACATATGGAACACATCAGGCGGGAGCCAGATACTCCAGAGCAACAGAGTCGTAATTGTCAGGATCACATTCACCATAGTCATCTCCATCGACACCATCAGCATCATCAACGCCACGATCATGTTCATCGTCATCGTCATCGTCATTATCGTCATCAGCATCATCATCATAATCATCATCATCAGCATCACCACCATCATCATCATCAGCATCATCAGCATCATCATAATCAGCAGCATCAGCATCACCATCGTCGCCATATCTACCACCCTCACCATTAGCACCATCCTCATTATCGACAGAATCATCTTTATCGGCATTACAGACGGTGATATCATCAATCGCCATCATCATCAGCATCATCATCATCATCATCATCATCATCATCGTCGTTGCCGCCACTACCACCGCAATAGAATTGCCATCGTCATCGCCATCATCGGCGCAATCGGTATCAGCGTTACCATAAGCATCACCAGAATCAACACCGTCACCAACATCATCTTCAGCATCAGAACCGTCGCCATCACAATCACAAACCCCGCGACCATCTCCATCGTGACCATCATCAGCATCATCGCCAACGCCACGATCATACGCATCGCCACCATCAACATCATCGCCATCGTCATCACCATCGTCCACCACATGCACGTCAGCACCTTCGACATCATCAGCATCAGCATCGGCATGATCAGCATCATCAGCATCATCATCAACCTCAACATCGTCATCAACATCATCATCGTCGGCATCACCACCATCACCATCATCAGCATCAGCATCACCAGCATCAGCATTGCCAAACTAAGCATAAAAATCATAAGTGTCATCCTCGACATCGACATCGCCATCACCAAACAGCATCACCATGACCATGAACATCATACCCATCATCATCAGCAGCATCACCATGGCCTATACCGGCGTAATCATCAATATTGCCATCCTCGTCATCAGCATCCTGTCTTCATCACCATCACCATCACCATAACCCTTAGCTGCATCATCAGCATCATCACAAGCATCATGATCATCAGTATTACTTTATTGTCAGCATCAGTCCCAGTATTAGTGTTAGTAATATTCTTGCGATTAGAATCATCACCAGCATCGTCCGTCGTCGGTGTCGTCGTCGTTGTCGGCGTCTTCGCCGTCTTCGTCGTCCCTCCAAATTCGCCACCGCGCCGAGAGGCATTATGTGGAGTGTCCTCGGGCCATCAAGGGTCCTCAATTCTCAATGTTGTGCATTGCGGTCAGAGCCTCAAGTGCCAAATTTCATGTGGCTGCGTTCCTGACTCTTGGGCTTTGCGTGGCGCGTGCATGATGGGGATTGTCGCGTGAGTTCTCCTGAGGAGCGAACGCGCCAAGACTGTCCAAGAGGGCCCCAAGAGGCCCCCCAGGAAAGTCGAAAAGGGCCCGAGACGGCACACGAGCGCTGAAAGGCGTAAAAGACGGGCTCAAGGCGGCCCAGGAGGACCCCAAGACGCCCCACGAGGGCTTCGTAAGGACCCCCAAGAGGGTCTCGCGAGGCCCAAATGATGAATCCTCTGTGGGTTGAACAATGATACGGTTCTCGCATGTTCTGGCTTCACCGCCCGAAGACGGCCCACGAGAACCCCAAGATCGCACCACGACGGCCCAGGGGGCCCCCAAGATCGCCCTATCCCTACCCAAGAGGTCTCCACTACGGCCCCTAGAGGGGCCGACGAGAAGGAAAAGCGAAGGCCCAGTTCGAGCAGTCTGCGCCGAGCTGGACCTAAGATATGCAATGAAGCCCCCGAGAGACCCCCGGAAGCGCCCAAGAGGCCCCAGGGGACACCCGAGGACCCCCCCCCCACACCCCCACACGCCCCGACGAGGCCCCAGGAGCCGCCTCGAGGGGTATCCGAGGGGCCCCCGGAGGATCTCCCAGAGAAGCCAACGGGCATCCACGAGGCTTGTGGCCCACAACCCAGGCACGGTGACAGGATGGACCGACCGCAACTAAATAATGTAAATAATACGAATGATAGAACATAATAAGAATTCTAATAATAATAATAATAATACGAATGATAATACTGATAATTATAATACGAATAATCTCAATACGAATAACCAACGATATGGATCATAAGAATAATAATAATAATAATGATAATAATGATAATCATCATCATCATCATCATCATCATCATCATCATCATCATCATCATCATCATCATCAGCATCATCATCATCATCATCATCATCATCATCACCATCATCATCAGCATCATCATCACCATCAGCATCATCGTCATCAGCATCATCACCATCATCTTCATCAGCATCAGCACCATCAGCATCACCATCAGCAGCAGCAGCATCTGCATCAGCATGAGCATCAGCATCATCATCAGCATCATCATCATCATGATCATCATCATAATCATCGTCAGCAGCATCATCATCACCATCATCATCATCATCAGCGTCATTATCGTCGTCGTCGTGACCATCATCCTCATAATAATCAGCATCAGCCTTGTCAGGATCGTCATGAACATCAGCACCATCATCATCATCATCATCATCATCGTCATCATCATCAGTATCAGCAGCATCATCATACGTAGCAGAATCATCATCACCATCGTCACCAATCTGTCAACATCACCATCAGCACTGTCAGCATCATCGTCATGGTCAGCATCAGCATCCTCATAATCCTTGGCACCCTCATCAACATCAGCATCAACAGAAGAATCATCGTCGTCAGCATCATCATGAGCATCTGCATCACAATACCCATCATCACTGCATCAGCATCAGTATGCTAAGCATCATCAGCATCAGCATCGTCATCAGCATTACCAGAATATCATCAGCATCATCATCAGCAGCAACATCCTTATCATCATCGTCGTGGCCATCGTCATCATCAGCAGCATCAGCATCGTCATCATCAGCAGCAGCATCATCCGCATCATCATCACCATCAACATCCTCATGTTCAGCATCATCATCGCAGGCAACGGCATCATCATCATCAGTATCAGCATCACCATCATCATCATCAGCATCATCATCATGGTTAGCATCAACATCATCATCAGCATATTCAGCAGCATCAGCATCATCATCATCATCGTCATCATCATGGACGGCTGCATCACCATCATCAACATCGTCAGCAGCATCGTCATCATGACCCACATCAGCATCCTCATCCTCATCAGCATAATCATCCTAACAATCAACATCCGCATCTTCATCGACAAGATCACAAAAAGCAAAAGCATCAGCATCACCCTCATCAGCATCATGGTCGCCAGCATCATCCACAACAGCATCATCATCACCACAACCAACCTCATCAGCATCATCATCGCACACTCGTCAGTTGCATCAGCATTAGCATCGCAAGCATCAGCATCAGCATGATCATCATCGTCATCACTAACAGCAGCATGATCACCATCACCATCATCATCATCATCATCACCATCATCATCATCATCATCATCATCATCAGCATCAGCATCAGCATCAGCATCAGCATCAGCATCGTCATCATCATCGTCGTCACCAGATTCCACGTCATCAGCGTCGTTTAACCATCAGCATCAGCGGCATAATCATCAGCATCGTGATCATCGTTCTTATCATCACAATATCCGTCACCATCGTTGAGTAAAACTAACCATGACCATTACCATGACCATCATCATCAACAACAGCAGCATCGTCACCATGGTCATGCGCACCAGCTTAAGCATCCACATCAGCATCATCATCATCATCAGCAGCAGCGGACGCAGCAGCAGCAGCATCAGCATCAGTATCAGCAGCAGCAGCTGAGCATCATCAAGTGAACCATTCTCAGAATCCCCATCAGCTCCTCTTCCTCTTGCTTTTCCTCCTTCGGCTTCTCCCTCCCCGTCCCGTCTCAACCCCTGCCTCCACCCCACGCCGTCGGCTCCTCATCCTCCTCCCCGCATCCCCTCCGCACCCCCATCTCCTCCCCTTTCCCCGCCTCCTCCTGCCTCGTCCTCCTCTTCTCGTCCTCGCCTCCTCCTCCAGCTCCTTGGCCAGCCGTGGGCGTGGAGCGGGCGGCCCGCGGGAGGGGGCGACCGAGGGCGCTCCGGCCTTCTGACTGGCTCCCGTCGCCTCGAAGGCATGGCGGAAGCCCGGAATGCAGGCGACAAAACTTCGAGCCCCTCTGAAAGCAGGAGGAGGACAGCGACACCGACAACGAGGAGGAGGGTCAGGAGACGGGGAAGGGGCGGAGAGGAGGAAAACACGGGAGGCGGGTGGGGAGCGGGAGGAGGGCACGGAGAAAGATTCAGAGGGGGGATGGGTTGGGTGGGTGGGGGGTCGCGCCATATTTGACATCCTACCCCTCCCACCCATCCCTTCCCACTGCGCTGATTGTTTCTCTTTCCGCCGACTCGTGTCATGACAGACCTGGAACTCAAAAACGGACCCCCTAATGTTATGCGCAATCGGAAACAGGGAGCTTCGCACGTTGGAGGAGGAGCGGATGAGCATGAGGATGAGGAGGACGACGACGAACAGCAGCACCAGCAGCAGAAGCCAGAGTGGAAGAAGCGGGAGGAACAGGAGGACCAGGGAAAAGCTGGGGGGGCGAAAGTAGGGGGCGACAAAGATGCGGAAGGACTCGGATCCACACAAGCGGCCCGCGCCGGGGCGAGAGCGCCACTCCGAACGACACATCGCCGATCCGTGAGAGTAAGGCCTACGCTGCAGCGAGAGCACTGTTACGAAACACCGAAACCGCTCCGAGATGCAAATCTACGAACAAAACAACTGCTGAAACCTTAAAAATAAATGCGGAGAGGGCGGCACATCTTCTGGACAGAGTCAAGGGAGAAGGGAGAGAGAGGGAGTAGTAGTCACAAGGCGCAGTTGCGCAGGAGGAGGAGGGCAAGGTTTTCCATGGCCTCCAAACGTGCTCCATGAACGCATTCGGCTCAAAGTTCCAGGCGAGTTCCCACATGTGTTCAAAGGTTCCCCAAACAGCGCTTGCGCTTGGAGAGTCTGACTTGCGCTGCCTCCGCAACCTGGCAAGGTTCCGCCAGGTGTCTGGCCGGTGGCCGCCCGCGAGCGCCTCGTGAGCGCCCCGTGCGCTGGGTGGGTCGTGCCCCTGCTGGATGGGTGGTCCGAGGGATCGCCCGGTGGCCGCCCGCGGGCGCACCCGGGGCCCCCAGGAGGCCACCCAAAAGGCCCCCAGGACCCCCGGGAGCCCCTCGGAGGCCCCCAAGAGGCTCCCAGGGAGCCCCCAGGAGGCCCCCAAGAGGGCCTCAAGAGGCCTCCTCGTCCTCCTCCTCCGCCTCCTCCCTCTCCTCCTCCTTCTAGCCCGACCTCAGCTGCAAGCTGTGGCGTGCTTGAAAGACGGTTAACGAAAACACATAATGCAGACCCGGCTCGGCGCGCGAAGTGCCTGGCGGGCGCCGCGGACAATGCTGGAAATTAGCCAGAGGAAGAACCTAACCATATGCAGATGCGAGTACCGCATTGTCGGTACCGCTGTCGGTGAAGCTCTCTATGGGGCCACGAACAGTGTGAGGGGTGTGCCCAATTGGGCGCGGTGGTGCCATGCAAACACTCCCACTGGAGCCTTCGGTGAAGCTCCCTATGGGGCCACGAACCGTGTGAGGTGTGTGCCGGATTGGGCGCGGTGGTGCCAGACAAACCCTCCCACTGGAGCCTTCGGTGGAGTTTTCCCTATAGGGCCACGAACAGTGCGAGGGGTGTGCCGGATTGGGCGCGGTGGTGCCAGGGGGACCCTCCCACTGGAGCCTTCGGCGGAACTCCCTATGCGGCCTCGAGACGTGTGACGGGTGTGCCAAATTGGGTGCGGTGGTGCCACGCGAACCCTCCCAGCGGAGCCTTCGGTGGAACTGCCTGTGGGGACACGAAACGTATGAGGGATGTGCCGGATTGGAAACGGTGGTGCCACGCGAACCCTCCCAATGGAGCCTTCGGTGCAGCTCCCTATGGGCCACGAACCCTGTGAGGGGTGTGCCGACATGGTGGAAATGCGGAGGGTAGAGGCAGGGATGGGAGGAGGGAGGAGGCGGGAGGAGATTGCGGGGCGCTGTCCCTTCAAAACGAGGACCCAACACCACAGGATGGTTCTGAAATAAGGCGGCGGCGAGAGTGGCGCCCGCCAGGTACTAGAGGACAGCACGTACCTGAGTGTGACGAGCCCCCGTAACCAAAGTAATAGTAACCCATTCAGATTCAGTGGTACGTGCTGCCTCTGTTACGCACTGAAAAACACAGGAGCAGTGCAGTGTTAATCCTTGGGCTGCTACCCCTTGTAAGCAAGATGTGGTGCCCCTCCATTGCCCGAGCATGCCCACCCCTAGTACACTTGTTTCCGAGCTAGCTGTGCAACGCTTGGATGGCTCGTGCGGTATCGGCTGGCCAATCGTGCTAGCAGTCTGCGCCTCTACCCCAGTATGGAAGAGGAGACAAAAAGTAGCTGGCAATCCCAGGGCGGCTCCTCCTCCTCCTTCTCCTCCTCATCCTTCTCGTCCTCTTCGTCCTGTTCCTCCTCCTCCTCCTAGTATGTGCATTGTTATTGTGATTCGAATTGCCATCGCTCTCATTATTATTACTGGTACGATTACTGTAATTAGTAGCAGTATCATGACCATCGTTATCAGCATCAGGATAACAACTTCATTGGTGTAATAAGTATGCGTATCAGTAATCATAGCATTCGCATGATGAGTGTTACCATTATTATTACCAGCGGTAGTATTATGAACACTACATTGATTGCCACGATGATTGTTATTACTACTGTTAGTATGCCGGGTTTCCATAGTAATGTTAGTACCGCGTGTTGCTGGTGCGCTGCTGTGTTCTTGTTGTTAGCATTGATAATTCGATGTTTAACACTATTACTACGATTCTGAATGATACACGTAACATCGTTTATCGCATCACTAATAGCAAAATTACCCTAATGGTACCAGTGTTACGGATACTAAGGATGTCGTTGATAACATTGATATTCGTCTTGATGTTTTACGATGTTATCAATACCATTCGTACTTTACCATTAAGCATCGTATCAGTATCATGGTTCTCAGAATTATTATTACTACTACCATAAACTGTAGATTACCATCACTCTCCTTATTCCTGTTCTTCATCATCTTATGAATAATCGAACATTGGGGGGTGAGATCGCCATGGAACGGAGCGCCCCGCACCGGGAAATCGGTTTCGGTTTCGTGTTCGTGTCGTTCGTGCGGACGAAGCGAAGCTGCGTGGGCGCGCGAGAGGAATAACCCCGCCATCGCTAGGGCGATTCGGATGCAGTGAACCCTCCGCCCCAGGTGGGCGCGCGGTGGCCCGCCGTGGTGTCCTGTGGTATCCCGTTGGTGTCCCGTCGGTGTTGCGTCGGCGGTGGGCGGGCGGTGGCCGGGGGTGTCCCGCCTTGCTATCGACAATGAGGTCGATAGTGAGATCGATAATGAGATCGCTGGGGTGGGATGGATAATAGGATCTAAAGCGAGATCGTCAGTGAGGTTGATTGTGACAATGGCTGTGAGATCGAAGGGGAGATCGTGAGATCGATACTCGGATCGACAGCAAGATCTATGTTGAGATCTATAGAGAGATCGTTAGTGAGATCTGTACTGGGATCGACCGAGTGTGATCGATCCTGTGAGGTCGATGGTGGGATCGATCGAGTGAGATCGAAAAGCGGGGACGATGCTGACATTACATCGCAGCGCAAAAACGTCATCACGCGTCGTCGCTAACTCGAGGGCGCGTCACCAGCATCCTCATTATCACCCATCGTATTTGCCAGCAATGGCTGTTTCCACACCCCACTCCCCAACCTCCTTATCACACGAAGGGTGGTCCTGCAGGAATAGCACGATTGTATTGTTAGTAGTGATACTGGTAATGTTATTACTACTACGGTTACGGTTACTTCGACGATTACGTTTACTATGTCTACCACTAGTGATAATACTCTTACAGTTACTGTTACTAATGCTGGTACTACTACGTTTACGATGACGATTACTCTGACGATGGCTATTACAATCGCATTACCATTACGATGACCGTTTCTATTACTAGTACTATTTCTACAACTATTACTGTTACTAGTACGATTACTAATACTATTACTATTACTATCACGGTCACTAGCAAAATTACTAGTAGCGGTTCGAGTACGAATACGATTCGTATTACGATTGCCAGTACTTGTAAGATTCAGTTTACTGTCGATATTACTATCACGAGTATGATTATCATTTCGATTACGAGTAATATTACTCTGACCATTTCTGCTACTACAATGAATACTATTACTTCTTGCGAATATTGTTATTAGCACTGTTACTGGTAGCGTTACTGATCTTATTAATACTGCGAGGGCAATTACTCTTACGATTACTCATACGATTACTATTCCTATTCCTGTTGCAATGCCCAATCATATGACGAGCGCTATTACTTCGACCAGTACTAATAATACCAATATTACAATTAGAACCATTAATCATTTTACTGTTACTATGGTTGTTACGATTACTGGCATTACTGCTGCTACCAAAACTAGCATTGTTACAATTACTATGACTACGACGATGAGTATCACTATTATACTTACGATTACGATCACTAATGCGAGTACGGGTACTAGTACTATTAGTTACACTGCTACGAACACGAATATGCTTAATATTATTGGTACCCTTGCTATGGTTACTACTACTATGTCTTATTACTGCCGTTAGTCTATAGTATACGTGTGCACATGTAAACACGAACAACTCATCTTCCTCCTCCACCTTCTCCTCCTCCTCTCCCTCCTCCTCATGATTGTCCTCTTCCTCCTCCTTATTATACTTCCTCGTTACATAGTCCAATAGCTTGGCCAGACTGTGGCCCAAGGGTTGGCCGCGTAGGCGGGCGTTTCTTCCAGGCAGGGGACAGTAGTGGTTCCCCGTAAGCGTCTTCGAGTGGTTAGCCGTCGGCGTCTTCGATACTCACACAGAAACAAGAGGCACGCGTGCAAAGGATCATACAGTTTCGGGCGCGGATGGGGGGGCACGGGGCGGAGGGGGCGGGCTGGGCATGGTCGGTCGGTCGGAATATGCAGACGGGAGACCACGGGGGGGAAAGGAAGCAGGGGGACGGGAAGGCACGATCGGGCAGGGAGC